CAAGATTTACGAGGTTCGGCAACTGCCTACGTCCTCGGGAGCCACACAGATAATTTCTTATTAATCAAACAAGAAATTACAATTTAGGAGCGTATCTCAAAACTGAGATTTCTCTGATAAACACTGTAGCTACAGTGTTAATAATCAAAGGGTATGAACCCTTTCAATTCTCACTTGAGAATAAATGAATAACCCCACAATAAATACCCTCTTTAATCCTCTTTAATGATCTCTCTCTCCTCTTAAATCCCCTTCTCTTAATCTCCCCTTAAGATTCTCAAATCCTAAGCGCTGGAGAAAGAGGGAAAACGCAGCTGCGTTTTTAGGGTTCCGCCGCCAGAGGAACAATCGGAGGAGGGGAAGAAATCAGCAGCGCAGCAACGAAACCCTAGGGGCCTTTTTATAGGCGAGGTGGATGAGCTGGCGACAGCCTGTCGCCAGCGGCCCACGGACGCAAAGGTGGGGGCAAACGCCGAGGTGGGGTCGAACGCAGAGTTGGGGGTCGAACGCAGAGCTGGGGTCGAACGCAGAGCTCGGGGAGGCGATCGCACGCGGGGCTCACGTTCGTCGTCGACTTCGCCTGAAGTTCGTTGCCCACGCACGCCTGCAACATCCATGAGCTCGCCGGAGCTCTTCGTCGCCTGAGGTGAGTTTGATCTACACCTTTTTCAACACTTTCCTAACCATGTTAACAAGAGACTTTACCGAAAAAGTATCAATGAGGATGAAGAGAGGACCATAGCCGTTATTCAACGCAGACACTGATACATTGACCTATGGGCCAAATCCAACCTCAAGTTCATGACTTGAGAAATATCAGATTTCTATAGTCAAACGGAAACGGTACATAATAAATCAAGTGTTCTGCTAAAACAGCAGAGATATACAAGATAGAAGTTACAGCCAGAATCAAAAAACCAAAAAAAAGGTTCAAAATAGTCCGAAAAACTCTCTTGCAATTTTTCTTTTTCCATTCAGATTTCCAGCATCTCGTAGAGCTCCACTGCACCCCTGATGTTCCTGTCCAGCCCAAAAGAGTTAATTATATCTGAGAACAGTGAACATTTTTTAACATGATGATCAATTTCTTCCGACCCCTCAAAAAGATGGATCTGGATTCAATGCACAGTATCAAAGTGTACTGACTAAACCTATGAGAACCAATCAAATTGGCAATGGTCTAATCTTCAATGAGAACCATGTAAACGTTACACCAACCAAGGACTAGGACTTTTCGCTGAATAATGGAAGATATATAGGTGTCAATATTAATAAGATAAAAGAACATTCAGAGTTCCTAATATAATTATGCACATTGTAATTAATTGCAAATCATTAGATATCACAGAAAGAGGGAATGTATGAAGATTCTCTTTGTCGTTCTCATTCTTAACAAGATATAGCCCTTCGTCTTACTAGTAGCAATCTTGTATATATGCAAATAGTCCAAGCAAAGGTAAGAGAAAATCTTACACGCAACACCCCTAACTCACTTAAAATAAATGTTGAATTACTTTCAGTTTTGTAGAACGTAAAATGACCAAGTTTAAAGTTTCTTTACAATCTAGACGACGAGGATCAAGCACAAGTACAAGTAAGTTACTTTAATATTTAGTACTGCAAATAATAGCATCGCTTGATTGTATAAAGAAGCAATTAGGTACACCAGGGTGAAAACTAGTACAGCACTGAAATGAATCTGTGCTTTAGTTCCCATATATAGTACAGAATAGCATAACAACAATCATATATTAAAATAATATGTATAAGGTGACAGATAATTATGTTAAACGAGCTATCAAGGTAGAGCCACGTGATGAGGTCCATTTTAAAAGTTACGTCAAAATGTGCAGACCTAACACCGTTATCTTTTGCTAGCTCATTTTACTAAACGAGCTGCTACCTCATAACCATCAAACCTGATATCAGTATTTTAAAAAAAAGTAACATAAGCTGACCTATGGGGGCTTAAACTTGGCATGAGCAGGCAAACTAGGCGTCTAGACCGCCTAGCCAGTACCTGCTCATGCCAAATTTAAGCGCCTGGAGGTCCACTTATGCTGTTTTTTTAAAACATTGGTATCAGGTTCGATGGTAGTGAGGTGACGGCTCATTTAGCAAAATGAGCTAGTAAGAGATAAAAATGTGAGGTTTACAACTACTGATGTGACTTTTAAAATGGACCTCATGACGCGGGTTATATCTTAATAGCTCATTTAATGAAACGAGCGTCCACATCACACCTATTATTTCATGTATGATTCTTGTTCCGTTTCTTCGGGCTAGGCATAGGAACTAAAGCTCAACCTCATTTCGGTGTACTAGTTCACCCAGGTGTACTTAATTTGCTTCTTCATACAATCAGTGATGCTATTATCTGCGATATTAGATATGAAAGATGTTGGAGCCCAAAAACGGCCCAAAATCAAATAGTGGAGGCGAAAGTCGGCCCAAACCCTCAGCCCAAACGCCCCATTCTCGTTATTATTCCCCCAAAACCCGATCCCAACCTATCTCCGCCGCCATTGTCACCTTCTCCCGCCGCCGCCGATCAAACCCACCAAGCTCGCCATCGCCAATCTCCACCTCCGACCAAGCCCAAGGTGACAAATTTCTCTCTTTTTTTATTTATTTCTAATTTCAACTATATATTCTTGATTATTAGGTTGTTTATAGCTCAATGTTCTCTTATAATTGTTTTTTAACAGTGAATTATTAGTTAGTTACTTGATAAGTTTACTTAATCAATTGAGTGTTATATTATTATCAATTTAATTGAGACGAACAAAAGCTATTGTTAAGTGTTACATTAAGTAATGAAGTAACAATAACAGTCAAGTCAGTTATGCAATTAAATTGAGTTGAATTAGTTGTCCACAATAGCATACTAGCAATGATCTTGCTCGCTGTCACTGTAATTTATTTTTGACTTTTTTTTTACTGTTTTGTTTAAAAGTCACTTATGAAGTTTCATTTTTTGTTAATTAGAGTGAGTTTGTTAACAGTTCTTAGTTTGTTGATGTGCCCCCCTTTGTCTGTGGCCTTTACAACACTATTTTCTCTCCTTTTTATCAATTGTTGTACTTAAATAATAAAAAAAGGAAAACGCCTAGGCCCCTAGGCGCTAGGCCACGGGTCAAGCGTCTGGTCCGCCTAACTCTTTCTGTAACATTGCTTGTTATACTCTCAAGGAGTTCACTTTTTGTCATGTATATGTTGAAACTTGAAAGCAATAAATTAAAAAACTTGGCTTTGCATGGTAATAAACAAGGAGATACTCTACAACTAAGAAAGCTTAATTTGATAATGTACATACATATATCAAGCAACATACGATTTCCTTGGTTTCAGAATCTAATTTGATATTGTACATATGTCTGTTACAAGATTTTTTTCACTGAGCGAGAAAAGGAAAAAAAAATATTACCGAAACAAATTATGGTTTAGTATGTAAATGCTCATCACGCGCAACTAGTGCTTTAAATACTTCATATAAAACTAAACGAAAGGTAAGGTAATTCGATAATTGAGATTGTCTACAAACTTATTTCTATAAAATATCATAGGCTGTTTATTCCACATCTTGTACCATGTTTATGTGTAAGTTTGTTGGCAAGTCAATAATAGTTGTCACTGGTTGTTGATGCCAGCAATCCTCCCTTATTTTGTCGAGTTTTTCATAGTAAGTTATAGCCAATCTTATTTGACACCCTCAATTGCATTGTTTTGTTGAATAAGATATAATCTATTGAACTTGGTCCAAGGTTCATGTAATCTAGCACCTACCCAGTGTCAGTTGTTCTGCTAAAGAATGTTGAAGAAAATCTTGCAATAGATGTATGTTCAATGTCAAATTAGATTCTGAAACGAAAGCAATCATATTTTGCTCGATATGTGTATGAACAGTTTCAAATTAAGCTTTCTTAGCTGTAGAGTATCTCCTTGTTTATGTCCATGCAAAGCCAGGTTTTTTAATTCGTTGCTTTCAAGTCTCAACATATACATGATAAAAAGTGAACTCCTTGAGATTATATCAGGTTCAATGGTTATGAGGTAGCAGCTCATCTAGCAAAATGAGCTAACAAGAGATACAAGTGTGAGGTTCACACCTTTTGATGTGACTTTTAGGATGAACTCGTCACGTAGCTGTATCTTAATAGCTCACTTACAAATGAGCCATCACCTCATACTGTTATTTCCATGTATAATTCTTGTTCTTTTTCTCCAGACTATGTATAGGAACTAAAGTTCAAATTCATTTCGGTGTACTAGTTCACCGAGGAGTACTTAATTGCTTCTTTATACAATCAAGTAATGCTATTATTTGCAGTACTAGAAATAATTTGTTTGTACTTGTGCTTGATCCCTGTTGTCTAGATTGAAAAGAAACTTTGTACTTGATTATTTTACATTCTACAAAACTGAAAGTAATTTAACATTTATTTTAAGTGCGTTAGGGGTGTTGCATGTAAGATTTTCTCTTACCTTTGCTTTGACTATTAGCATATAAGACTGTCATTGGTAAGACGAAGGACTATGTCTTGTTGAGAATGACAACAACATATGGAATCTTCATGCATTCTCTCTTTTTGTGATGTATGATTTGCATTTTACAAATAATTACAATGTGCATAATTATATTAGGAACTCTGACTGTTGACATTAAATCTAATTGAAGATTAGACCATTGCTAATTTGATTGGGTTTCATAGGTTTAGTCACTACACTGTGATACAGTACCTTGAATCCAGATCCATCTTTTTGGGGTATCAGAAGAAATTGATCATCATGTTAATTAATGTTTTTTTGTTCTCAGGGAGCTAATATGCAAACTGAGAGGTCTGAAACTACAAAATAAGAAGTCCTGCACGAATGAGCTATTTTTATTCCGTGAGCCTCATCCATTATTCTTCATCCATTATTCTGCATTTGGTCCGATGCTAACGTTCCCTTCCTATAAAAACAGCTCCAACCTCTTGAAAAGAATTGCCGAGATCAGAGCCCAGCAAGGTGGTGTTATTCAAGCCAACAATTTGATCAATCTCTATGTAAAGTGCAACCACCTTAGAGCCGCTCGTCATGTTTTTAATATTATGCCCGAGAGAAATGTGGTCTCTTTTAGTGCACTAATGACTGGCTATTTACACAGTGGACTTGCATCAGATGCCCTTTATATGTTTAAATCAATGGCTTTTGGTCATTCTTCATTGCGTTCAAATGAGTACATTTTCTCGATAGTCCTAACAGCTTGTTCTGATCTTGAAGCTCTTTGTGAGGGACAACAGTGCCATGCTTATGTCGTCAAGTCTGGCCTAATATCTCATTCTTACATCAGAAACACCCTTCTTCATATGTACTCTATATGTTCAAGTGTAGAAGATGCTATACAAGTCTACAAAACTTTGCCAGATTTTGATATTTTCTCATTTAATAGCATGATTAAAGCCTTTTCGGATGATGGGTATTTGGATGCTGCCGCTGAGATTATGAGAAGTGTGATGAATGAGGTTGACAAGTGGGATCAGGTCACATATGTTGTTGTTCTAGGACTTTCTGCCAATTTGAAGGATTTGAGATTGGGTCGCCAACTTCATAGCCAAATTTTAAGAAGAGGGCTTGAAAATGACGTCTTTGGTGGCAGTGCTTTAGTTGATATGTATGGCAAATGCAAAGCTGTTTTAAGTGCTCGATATGCGTTTTTTAGGATCCCCAATAGGAATGTGGTCTCTTGGACAGCATTAATAGCCATCTGTACGCAAAATGATTGCTTTGAAGAAGCCTTGAAATTATTCTTGAAGATGGTATCAGATGGCATCCAACCTAATGACTTCACCTTTGCAGTTACACTGAATTCATGTGCAGGCTTGTCTACCTTGACAAATGGTGATGCCCTAAATGCTTTTGCACAAAAATCAGGACATAAGGAATATCTGAATGTAGGTAATGCTCTTATCAACATGTATTCAAAATGCGGTAGCATAGAAGATGCACATAAAGTATTTTCAATGATGCTCGAAAGGGACAGTGTTTCTTGGAGTTCGATAATCACGGGTTATTCTCATCACGGCTTAGGTGAGGAAGCTCTAGGGGTTTTCGGTAGTATGTTAAACGAAGGCATGGATCCAACATATGTAACCTTTGTTGGAGTGCTTTCTGCTTGTGGCCATCTTGGCCTTGTACATGAAGGTTTCAATTATTTGAATTCAATGAGCAAATGGGGGATATCCCCTGGGCTTGAACATCATACTTGCATCATTGTAATCTTGTGTCGGGCTGGTCGACTAGATGAGGCTGAGAAACATATTAGATATACTCATATCGAATGGGACATCGTAGCATGGCGATCTCTACTGAATGGTTGCCTAGTACATAGAAATTTCGGTCTGGGAAAGAAAGTTGCTCGTCACATACTTCAATTAGATCCTAATGATGTAGGAACATATATTCTCTTATCAAATATCTATGCAAAAGAAAGCCGTTGGTATGGAGTTGTTGAGGTTCGTAAGCTCATGAGAGAACGATTCATCAAAAAAGAACCTGGGGTTAGTTGGATTCAGGTGAGGAATGAGACCCATGTTTTTGCTTCAGAGGATAATCAGCATCCACTGATAGTTGAGATACGCCAGAAATTAGCAGATTTAATGTACCGAATTAAGTTAATTGGTTATAAACCTGATATTGCTAGTGTATTGCATGATGTTGAAGATGAACAGAAGGAAGAGTATCTTTGGTATCATAGTGAGAAGCTAGCTGTAGCTTTTGGGTTTATTAGTGCTCCTCATGGAGCTACAATCCATGTCATAAAAAACCTTCGAGTTTGCAATGATTGCCACATGGCATTGAAACTGATTTCAACTGTGACAAAGAGGAAGATGATAGTAAGAGATGCCAACAGATTTCATTGTTTTGAGAAGGGGGTGTGTTCTTGTAGAGATTATTGGTGAGATTTTTGTTCGAAAGAAACAGAGGGCTTTTGCTAGTGCGGATGCAGATTGCAAGCGAGGTATTTCAGGTATTCATCAGAATTCACAACAAGTCACTCCTGTTTAACCTTTCATTGGCACAATTCATGAACAAAGGAGCTAATGTTTGAAACTTTTTTAACTTTTAATAAATATAAGGCACATGACATCCACGCTTTCTCCCAAAATGGGAAGAAAAGTCTTTTGAAAGTGTCAACAATCTGCCATGAACTAGTGACATCTCTCTATAAAACTCCACAAGAAATACTATACCAATAATTCATGTCTCTATGATATTTGTAAGTCTTTTTGGAATAAATTGATATTTATTATCATTAAATTGAATATACTTGTATGATTCTTAAAGACTACATTCACAGGGAATGCAACTGAGCCAACTTAACTGCATACATGTCACTAATTTCTTGCGAAGTAGTGTACAATAGTTGGAGAGGTACATTATAGAACATCCATTATAGAGGATAAAGTTAAACAATATGAAACATATTTCTCAGCATTTTCAACTATGAACCAAGCAATAAGAAACATTCATCTATATAATTCGAAATCTTCCATAGACTAACATCAGCATGCATATCCTCACATCCTCTTCAGATGCCTTCAAACATGAATTTTGTCTGCAATCTCTTGTGTCATCCCAGCTTCTTTGATATTAGACAAGGAAATATTTTTATTCTTTGCACATGTTTCATTACTGTTGAAAGTTTAAAATGTTGGTTTCTTCTTGATGGTGTTCGCCTGCAGAAGGCTTAGTATCCTTTGATTTGTTATGTATCTCCACAATCAGATTGCGCGCTTATCATTTGCAAACTTGTGAGGATATCTACCTGCAATTAGACACCATCTAAACAAACAAATAGGCATGTTAGTTTATAAAGTTCTCACAGAGAAGAGAAAATATAGGATAAAAATAGATAGTTCTCTCCAACGAGACGAATAAATTATGTAGGCTGCAATTGTGGATTTCGATCTTATGAGGTTTTTTGCCATAAAAGTAAAGATATGATCAAGAAAGAAACACTACAAAATTGCATAAACAAGTGCAATTTCTTAGTAGTTCTGAAGCCCACAGTTGAAAGTTGAGGGCATGAAATTATCTAATAGATTGTAATTTTAACTATAGAAAAACAAGCTAGCAATAAATAACTTTTCAACAATCTAATTACCAGTTGCCCAATAAGTTATGAAGCCTAATTATAAGGTCCACCTCAGCATTCTCAAATTTCCTCTTAACGCTCGGACAATGATAGTTCAACTGCATAGCTCTTTGGACACCTATTGAGGAAAAGAAACTAGTATGTAATCATCAGTCAGTTTCTTTAAGAGTTACGAAGAGTTGATAGGAGTTGCAACTGATAGTTTAAACAGAGAAACAAAGAAACCCACTTCTCCCAAAAATAAGTTATTTAAAATTTGGAACACTAGAATAAATTTGAACATGTATTAGAAGTCAGAATTTGGGTGCAGAAATAAGTTTATTACATAATACTATATTTACAAATTGAATTAAGGCTGGATAGAGTATATTTTCTTTTCCGTCTTAAGGCTGTTCTATTTCAGTTTCTACCCTTTATTGTGAACTGGTGTTTAAGGGTTGCTTGGGAGAAAGCATGCCAAAATTTGACCAAAATGTTCATCATTCTTTTTCCTGTTTTGCCCTCCAGATCTGTTCTCTCTCCTTCTTTGATTCTAGGGTATTTAGGAAAATCTGTTTACAGCCCTTTTTTAAAATTCTTCTTCTCATTTTTCTCCCCCTTTCCCTCTTTTGATAGGACGAGACGATATGAAAAGTATGGCCTCTTTGTTCGTTCCCTCCATGTTCGATGGGATGGGGAATAGGGCTCGGGTGATCAGAAAACAACTTTCGAATCCCATAAAAAAATGAACACATTTTTCTCTGTTTTCTTCCTTTTTGGGGATTTTATTCCTTATTGTTTTCTCATTTTAAGAAAATTGGATTGTTGTTAGAGTTAAATTTTGGGTTTATTAACTTGTGATTCGCTTCAAAAATCCGAGCCTTTTCTATCTTCTTTTGTTATCAAGAGAGGAAGTTTTGCTTCTAGCAATTTTCTTTAATTTCATTATTCGCTTAGTTTTATTATGCATGTAGAATCCAAGGTCTTTGCCGTCTAAACTATATTAAGATATTGTGTTATTCACTATATGAAATTATTGATTGTCTTATGCTGAGCCCACTTGGATGTGCACTGTGAATTTCGATTGCGGTTGTTGCAGGTGATTCGCCTCCAGTTCTTGAGGAAAGTTTCACGGAGTCCCCTACGCAGCTTGAAACCATATTGAGAGGTAGCTCTTCTTTTCCTTCTGCTTTTATTTTTCTTTAAAAGATTATACTTGTTTAGGCAAGTGGCTTATTTTCATTATCATTAATGCTCTGCATCCTGTGTTATTATGGTTTAAGTTCTTTTAAGATGGTTGAAGTAAAATATTAAATAAGTTGTGTATCATTTCTCTTGAAGATGAGGTTTCACAATAGAATATGATATTTACTGAGCTTAATTTTATCTGATGTGCTTGTTTAACTTTATAAATGAAAATTTATTTTGAGATAGGAGAACCAAAATACTTGTCTTGATGTGATATAATTATCTAGGATTTTTTTGTGACTTCTTCGAATTTCACCTATATTCCTTTCACTTAGAATACTTAGGTTTATAATTGTATGCTTCTTAAGCACGATAATAAGGGGACTAAAAGCTGATGGCAGTACACGTGTGTGCAAGCCAATTAATACATTGGTAAAGGTTGATTCAAATGTAAATATTCAGGAACTTGTTATGCAAACCATTATATGTATAGTTTCTCAAAAATAATGTTGAGAGTCTGAGACTATATGTTTCTTTGATTTTTTCTATAACACATATATAGCTCTCTTGATTTCCCACTAATTGGTTGCTTTGAAAAAGTTTTGTTACCTCAAAACATACTTGGACGACTTAACACCTCTAAAGTTCTTTGTGTATAGTAAATACGATACAAATATAGTTTAAGTTATTAAGGGCATGGACCACTTAGTAATAAGAGTTAATAATTAAGGGGGCCCTTTTTTTTGGAGACTTGCTCTTTAATGACTTAAATTATATGTATTTTGTATTTTGTATTTACTGTATACGCAAAGTAATTTAAGGTTGTTAAGCTCATCCAAGTAAGGTGGAGCAATTGGCTTATTTAGATAGATAGAGGAATTAGGGGAGAGCTTTGGTGTTACCTATCTTTTTTTTTAATTTAATTTCTGGAGGTGCATCAGACGCTGGAGATGTAAGAATAACTCAAAAACGACAAGCTCCTTTGAGGTTTCATTACGACATTGGAGATGAGTGCCTCTGTGTGCACAAGCGCCTGAGCATGTGCACATACCGTAATAAATATCAGCATAAAATTAGAGAGGAATCTAGCTTTAGCTTGTTTGATGAAATTGAGTAAGATAAATAGTTGATATGTTTTCATAAACTACACATAATATTTGATATTTATTTTCATGTTTGTTAGTTTAAAAAACGCGCATAAACAAGTTGATGACTAGAGCTTGATAACTAATTAGAATAAGTTTGAGCTACTAGGAAAATGAAAAAAAAATACTTTATGTTTTTAACAAGTAATTAGAGAATGTTGGATGCTTAACTCAGTAATTTTTTGATTTGTACACTGACGAGACTTTAATGTACCCAACATCAATGACATATGTGAGCACGGAATCTTTTAGCGGTCTCATAATCTAATTTTCATATTTAAAGCAAATTTCTATTCTTTTTTAGAAGCTGTTGAATATTTACCTGGCAAAATCTTTGGTTTTCTATATAATGTGCTGATGTATCAGCAATCATCCTTGAAAAATACTCGAGCACCATGTCGTGATGGATGCTGATGGAAAGCGTCTGAGAATGCCTTGGCATTTTCTTATACATAACGTCACTAATTACTATGATATCCAGCATGCTGTAAACCCTCCTACAGAATTTATTTGATGCACTGTGCCTGTTATGGACTTGTTTATTTCATTAGTGTGTATTATCATTTATTCATTGTTTATTTCATTAGTGTGTATTATCATTTATTCATATTCTCATGAAAATAAACTGCATCATTCTTTCTTAATTTAGAAATCATAAGAAATTATGAAGCTATTTTCAGTCCATAATATGAATTGTATCTATATAACATGGAGCTATATGAAATCTTTGAAATGGGATCTATATGAAATCTTTAAAATGGGATTATCTTTTCTTGTTATCATTACTTGTTATCCGTGCAAATTAACACCGGTCAAGCATTGCTGCTAAAATACTTTTTATCTCTCCAGAAAGTCGAATGGATCTAGATAACGTTTTTGAACATAATCTGTAGAGATGGAGGTAAAATGGCTATCAAGTTATAAAAGTTAACCAAGGTAACAAACATCAAGAGATTTAAATGATTCATTGAATTCCAGAAGATAACTATGATGAGGACCGATCTTGAAGAATGATCTTTGTTGTGTATCTGTTCATCCCAAGAGTAGTAAGACTTGACCTCAAATGAGCCAGGTTCAAAGAAATATACAATAAACATCAAATTTAATGTTTCTCTTGACATTTTTATTTATTACATTTGTTTTTCCCCCTATGAAACAGGTACCTGGACTTCTTCAGGGGGAAAGGGAGATTGAGTCATGGATTAATTCCATAGCCTCCCATAATGAATCAGATTGCCAGGATGAAGAATCCTATTCATCTCCAAGCATAGAATAAATTTCAGTCCCAATATTATTTGATATGGAGGATGTCGATTTATCTACATTTAGTTTTGAACAAAACCACTCCACTGCTTGCATATATGCTTTTTCGTAACAAATAAGTCAAAATTGTTGAATTCAATTATCTTTTCGCACAATGTCGACTGTACTTTTACAATTTATGACTAAATCAGAGAAATTTGTTTCTCAATTATTTCCATAGGGTTTGATTTCACCTTTTGTCCCCCGCATATACGCGGGGGTTACGTGCTAGTATATACTAAAGTTAATGGGAAATGAACAGTGGTTAACTACAGTAAATTCTGATGTTATCTATTGCAAATGCTTTGGATAATTAACTACCAGTGTTGTAGTTCAGTTGACAATTGGCTTGAGCTCCTACACAAAGGTCGCAGGTTTGAGGCTCACATTGCCCTTTTTTTTTTCCTTGCCTTTCCTTAGCATTATATTCAAGCTTTCTGTTTTTTGTTTTCCCTGATGTGACAAGATGGGGAACAGGGCTCCATGAGGGTTAACACGGAAGAGTGGAGCTCAAATCATCCGAATAGGACCGATAGCAGGAGCTTCTCCAAGATCATTGAAATCTTTCATCTTATATTTGGATCCTTCTTGTCTGAGATACTCGATTGAAGACATTATTCAAGTTTATTTTTCTTCCATCAGAATTGCCACTTAAGTTTTTGTCTTAAGACTTTTCTTCCATCTAAATTTTTTAGCCCACACAAGAGGCGCTAGCTGTATCCGTTTCTGCGATCACAAACAGGGTAGCGATGGAGGATAGCAGAGGAGTGCACAACATTAAGTTTGTCAATTACTCTGAAGTAGTTTAAAATTGAATTATTTGTGGCAATGAGTTCCTTGTGTGTAATCCTTTGACGAGCTTTTAGTGATTTTGATTTTTTTTATTCTGATGAAAATTTTGACATTGACAGGACCGAGAGAATCATCTGCTAATCTCTGGTAAGGTCTCTTTATTTCCCTCTTCGATAATTTGTGTTTATTTTGTCATTTACAATTTTTCATGAATCATTGCAGACTAGCATTCAATTCCTCTTATTTTCAAATTGTAACTAAACTATTATTTCAATTCACATCCCATTTTATAACTTTGCTTTCTCTCTTCGTATATGACAAAAAGGGAGAGCCTTATGATATCCACTGATCCCGCCTTTTAAATCCAAGCCTATATTTACTTGATGATTTCCTTGGTGAATTCCCTGTGCCTACATTGAAACAACTTATAAATGAATTGATGAGCGACAGTTATTCTATATTCAATTGTTTGGAGAATTATATATAACTGAAAGTTCTTTAACCTCTGACATGGTTTATCTATTTTTATTGAACTTTCCTTTGTTCATATCAATGAAGAGATGAAGGATGTTGTTGTGCATAAATTTTTGTACACTAATTGTTTCTAATGTTTTAGATATTGGACTATGGATGTTTGCTTCCAAATTTTAAATAACAGAAGTACACTTCTATAATGTCGTTTATTTATGTCTATAAGCTTGTTTAGATAGAAAAATTTGGAGTGCATTTCATGAGTGATTAAACTTATGAAGATAAAGTGAGACGAGGAGAATTGTACCACTAACTAAGAACAATATTATAAAACTAAATTAGATGAGGCCGGTAAAATAAAAAAAAAGGCAAGATGCATAAGCTTTTGATGGGTTTCTTATCATCAGGAGCATAGATCAGAAAGTAATGAGCATATAATATGAATGTGGTATGGATGGATAGTTGCTCATAGTGTGCTAATAACAAGAAGAAGAAGAAAATTATGGTAAAAACTGACGTGCGATGTTGTTTTATGTATTATTGCTAGCAAAGTATGACCGCTGAAAGTGACCCTAAGTATTATATATTAAGTAATTCAAGAATTGCAAGCTCACTTGATCCGTGTCTTTGTTTGAGTACTGATTTTTGTAACACTAATTGTTTGCGATTTTGAAGGAGAAGCTTTCAGCATCGAATTTTAAAGGAAGTCTTGCATGATATCAACTCCATAAGCAGCTACGAGAGCATGTTTTTAAGGAGTCAGTTGATCTCATATTTTCCTTTTTCTTTTTATTTTTCAGTAGTAAACTTTAATTAAAGCTAGATTTGGCAATTTGTTCCTGTTTATGGTTTACTTTTCTTTGAGTGATGTTAGCCTGCGGATAGAGGAAAGCAGAGGAATCTCTAATAACATCAGTTTATGTTTGTTAAAGTAAGAGAGAGAGAGTCTTTGGTAAATTTCCCTTGAGTTGAATATTGAGTGTGGACATATATTTATATAAGTAGAAGATGGTGAGGTGTGTTCTCACAACCAATGTGGGACTAAAAATCCACTACTAACACTATTATCAACAGTCCTCCTCAAACTCATGTTGGATCAAACAAAGTGAGTTTGCGTACAAGAAACTGGAACTGGTAAGGCCTTTTGTGAAGAATTCTGCAAGCTCGTCGGCGAATGACACATTAGGAAATAGAATTGTCTTATCCTTGATAACTTGTTGATGGATAAAATGAGCATCGATCTCAATGTGTTTGGTACTCTCATGAAATACTGGATTATTAGCAATCTGGATGGCATTCTTATTATCACAGTATAGAGGAGTAGGAGTCCAAACAGAAATACCGAAATCACTGAGAATACGATAAAGATGAATAATCTTTTTAGTTGCTGTGGACATTGCACGATATTCTGCCTTAGTGCTGGAAACAGCAGGAACATCTTATTTCATACTCCGTCAGGAAATTAGAGAATCACCAAAAAATATACAAAAACATGTGGTAGACTTCCTGGTAGTGGGATCATCAGCCTAATTAGCATCGGAATATGTACAAAGCTCTAATTTGGATGTAGCAGGAAACATAAGAGAGCGAGTGCTAGTACCTCGGAGATACCGAAGAATCTGTAATAAAGCAGCATAGTGTACAGAACGTGGGGCACTAACAAATTGACTGACAATGCCAACAACATGAGAGGTATCTAGTCGAGAGATGCACAGATAGACCAACTGGCTAACAAAATGTCGATATCGGGTAGGGTCAGATAGAGGCTCACCATCAGTAGAGCGAAGTTTGACATTCTGTTGAAGGGGAGTATCAACAGTTGCATCGTCAGTTAGCTCAGCTCGATCTAGAATATCCGAGAGATACTTCTGTTGAGACAGTAATACACCCCGCGGGACTTGAGAAATTTCTAGACCAAGAAACTACCGAAGAGATCTAAGATCATTCATGTGGAACTGTTGTTGCAACTGAGATTTTGCGTACCGTAGTCAGATGCTCACTTATCATTTGCAGACTTACTAGGATATACACCTGCAACTAGACACCACCTAAACAAACAAACAAACAGGCATATAAGTTTATAAAGTTCTCGCAGAGAAGATAAAATATAGGATAAAATAGATATATAAGTTTTCTCCAAGGAAACCAATAAATCATGTAGGCTGCAATCATGGATTTTGATCCTATGAGGTTTTTTGCTATAAAAGTAAAGAAACGATCAAGATAAAAACACTACAAATTTGCGTAAACAAGTACAAGTTCTTAGTAGTTCTAAAGACCATATATAGTTGAAAATTGAGGACATGAAATAACCTGGTAGATTGTAATTTTAACTATGGGAAAAAAATAGCAACAAATAACTTTTCTATAGTCTAATTACAGGTTGCCCAGTAGGTTGTGAAGCCTAATTATGAGGTCCAACTCAGCATCCTCAACTTTCCTCTCTTAGCCTCAGCTCTTTGGACACCTATTGAGGCCATCAGCCCTAAAAAGAAACTAGCATGCAATCATGTAGTCAGTTTCTTTAAGGGGGTGTTTGTTTCAAATTCTATAATTTTAGTATATAGATTTCACCATGGGATTTGAAATCCATAGGTGTTTTGTTATAGGTTGAGATTTCTAAAATGTTATTTGTTTCATTAATATTTTGGGATTTGGAATACTACAATTTGTAACATTTTTATTTGTTTCAAGCTCAAATTGTAGCATTACCAAATGCCAACATTTTATAATATGATAAATATGCTATTTTGGTGAGGTTACTTCCACAAAAAGACAAAATTTGGATTTGTCAAATCCTCTCCAATTGAGAGGTAAGCACACTCATTTATGGGATTTGTCAAAATCCTCTCCAACTAAGAGGATTTGACAAATTCTAAAAATTTGGCACTTTTTGTACTTTTGAGATTCAATGTTCTAAAATTTTTCTTAAAACAAACACCATATATGGAATCCCAAATAACAAAAAAACTCACTTTTTGATCTCAAAACTTGTAATCCATACCAAATACAGCTGATAGTTTAAATAGAAGTTGATTGGAGTTGCAGCTGATAGTTTAAATAGAAGTTGATTGGAGTTGCAGCTGATAGTTTAAATAGAAGAACAAAGAAACCCAATTCTCCTAAAAGTAAGTTACTTAAAATTTGGATCAATAGAATAAAGATGAACAGGAATCAGAAGTCAGAATTTGGGAGTAGAAATAAGTGTATTACATTATACTATTTACTAAAGTAAATATGAAATGAGTGGTTGTTAAAAACAGTAAATTCTCATGTTATTTATTAAAAAAACAAGTAACGAGGTAAAATATGGGAAATTAATAACTCCTAGAGCCTAGGCCCATTTATAAGCTAGTCTTGTCCATCTAAAGTCTAGCAATAGTCCATTGAGGTCCAACATCATATAACTGACCCCTTTATTAGTAAGATGGTCAATATAAATTCAAGCCCACTATTAGAAAGCGCATTCAGGCCCGCTATTGGTTTTTGTCATATAAGACTACCACTTTATGTTAATTCTATATTAGCCCCAAAATCATCAAGTATCTAAAATATGCCCCAAATCTCTTAGTATTAAAAAAAAAGAAATGTCTAGAAGAAAGTTCAATAAGAAATAAATGGTAACTAACACTCGATTTAGTTGGTGTTGATGTTAAGTGATCACACAGTCAATATGTATTCGTATTTGGATGAGTTTGTTGAGGATTGATGAGAGGTTGCTTTCTTCCCTAACTTTATGTCTAGTTCTTGAGTTGAGTAACTGAAAAATCTGCACATGTAAAAATTCGTAAGAGGACGGGGTTTAATTCTCTCTTTGTGCCTCCAATGATCAAGTTAGCTGATGAACTTGAGTGTGGTAAATAAGAATTGTGACAGTTCTTGTGCTTGTGCAGTATGATTTGCAAAAATTAAGGAATTTTTTTATCAGAATCTAGAATTCAGATCCAGCCCTAGTTGAAATAGTATATGTATTTATACCAAAGTTATAATAGCAGATTGGTCACTTTGGCTGAGCACTGAGAGACGTTGGCGAAGCATGAGCTGGAGGTTGTGTCGGCACCTGCTTTACAGGTGTCAACTGGTGATTGGGGGGAAGATCACTTCAACATTAAATAAGAAGTGAGTGGTGGCAAGGCGGTGGCACACGTGGTCCGATGAATCATAAAGACTATAGGAGCTAGAGTCATGATGACACCTGGTAAGTATTAAATGCAATGCTGACACGTTGCCAAAGGGAGAAGCTCGAGGCGAAAATAGTCCTTTAACTTCGCCGAGAAGTAATGCCCATCTAAGTCATCCTCGTGAGGCGTTGAACAAGTGGTCGAGTGGACTCCTAGCGAGTCATCTGTGACGAGAGAGTCGACTGGTACCGCCTCTCGAGTCGTCATGAAGGAATATTTACTTGACAAGTCGGCCAAGTCCGAATCCTCGCTGGGCTTAGGCCACCAAGTTGCTTAGGGCACTGTATGTAGAATACACATGTCCAGTGTTTAGCAATGAATTTGTATTTTGACAAAAATGAGAACACCATAACAGTTGGTACTAGCCAACCGAATAAAATTCAATCGTTTACTCATTAGTGAGTCAATTTTCAAGTTTCACCAATTCAAATAGTGTCTTTTTTGGGGGGGGGGGGGGGGGCATGAAAATTATTATTTGCTTTCTTAAATTAAAAGATTACACTTAGGGGTGGGCAACTGGATGATTTGGCTCGTCCCTCTAGCCAACTCACGTAGGCTCAATGCCGAGACGAGACAACTTACGTCCGTAGCGAGACAAACATGTCGTGTTGTGTCGGTTGTTTGCAGGCTTAGACCTTAGCCCAGCCTGCTCGCGGGACAAGATTAAGCGAAACAGATCATGACACGTGCTGGCGCACTCGACCCACCATGTTTTTTTTTGAAATAGTTTTTAGTTTTTGTAAATATGTTTTAAGCATTGTTTAACACTTCAAAATTATATGTAATTAACTAACAATGCAACCATTATAGAAATCAATAAAAATTATTAAGTAAATTTGCATATTTGTATAGAATGACAGAGAGAAACATCGCAAACACAGAGATTTTATGTAGTTCGGAGCAAGTTCTACTCCACGGGTGGCAACTAATTGTTCCACTATTTTAAAAATATAGGAATAAATTACAACAAACCTTAAGTAAATAAAAATAGGAAAAATATGTCAACTTGTAATAGAGTTCAATCTTCTTCATTTTCTTCATCTTCCTCCACGAAGAAAGCCACACGTCCTCAAAGAAATCCATATGTTCTCAAAAGACTCCTTTAGGTAGCGGGGCCATTGTAGCATCCTCTCGGACCCAGCTATCAGCTCTTCTGTGCTACTGCGGTGATTCAATGTTTATATTATGTATCGGCAAAGGTCCAAGGGATGAATTGATGAAATCATGAATGAGAAAAAAATTGTATGCGATTCAATGGGCCGGGTTGAGCAGGCCAGCCCGCTTACATTTAGACCCAGCTCGCTCGCTGAGCTTGGTGGGTCAAGCGAGCTGCAGGCCCTCTTGTTACTAGAGGTCAGTCCAGCATTGTCCCACAACCCGCTACTGTGGTCGAGCCGAGCGAGCAGGCTCATGGGTTGACCTAACCCAGCCTAATTTGTGCTTTCTCAAAAAATATATATGTATGTTTTCTCAAAAAAAAAAAAATTCTGTTTTCTATTTCTTTTTTCCCCTTTTTTTTAGATTTTTTTTTCCATTTTTCCATTTTTGTTTTCCCCTTCTTTTGTAGAAAGGCTTTGGTCGTTTGAAGAATCATTCATTCATACAAAGATTGAGATTAGATTAATTTAAGCATGGGATCGTGTGTTCACGTGTCGTGTTAATTAAGTCTCATTAATTCTATATGTATGTTCTTGATGTTGCGACCTAGAGTGCATAAACTTGACATTAGCAAGTAATTTCTAGGACTTGATGCAGTGTATGGTTTTTTGA